GTTGTGGGTTCGAGTCTCAAGTCTAGCAGGAATTGTAGGTGGGGGGAGTGAATGTCCAGCGCTCTCTCCACCCTCAATACCATGCCTTGAGCGAGGCACCGAACCCCCAACTGCTCCCTGGGCCCACTGCTCCGGGTGTGTGTTCATGGTGTGTGTGCACTTGGATGGGTTAAATGCAGAGCACAAATTCCGAGTATTGGTCACCATACTTGGCCACATGACACTTTACTTTCACTTTCACTTTTTTTCACTTATGGCAACAAACAAGGATGCACAGCAAACAGGAACACAGGAAGAGAGTACAGAAACAATGGGGAATTTCAATATACATTTCAATATAAAGCCCTAAACACAAGACAGGGACACACAGGCAAAGTTACATAACAGTAACATCTAAATGAACAAGTTTTATTCAAGTCAAAAATATTATTTAATATTATTGAATCAACCTAAATACATAAATGTATACCACCAAAACTACTTTATGTGGGTTAAATCATGTAGAAATAGAGCTTTAAAGTAACAATTGCAGCACTTTTTGCAGTGTACATGGAAGAAATTGTTTTATTATATAGGTCACTTGGATGATATATAAAACATGTTTTAGTGCATCAAATTTAAGAACAACAAAATTGTAGAATGTAAAGATTACATTCTTCCCTCACTCTGCTATTAATTCCCATGATCGGGATCTTCTTAACATTGATTTCATTTTTAGAAAGGTCTATATCCTTAAAAAAAAAGTGGAACAGGCAGTCTGAGGATCCATGTGCCACAAGAAAATAGTTACTGTACTCGACAATGGTAAAAAAAAACAAAAAAACAAGGAGAAGCATTGAGGAAAATAATACGGCAATCCTTGATATCCTATCCAGATAGATTTCTCAGAGAATTAGTCATTTTGCCATTCATGAACAAACAGAAAAATTGTATATTTGTTCATGAATTGGGCTACACCAGTTGCACTGTGTGCTTCTGACTCACCAAAAAGAACCGGTTGATATAAGAGTCATTTGAGTCAGCTGACTACACTGGACGCACTGCATACATGTGCAGCACACAAGGACCACTTATAGATAGACATGTTTCACTCTTTTTCATAGTACTGTCTCTTTTTTATTTCATAACATTGAAGCACAGCTGCTGAAAAGCAGTACAGGAAAAACTGCTTACATTTGTATTTTATACTGGGATAATTCTAGCATGGCAGATGGAGTGGAAACGCTTTTTCTAAGGAGGGCAGTTGTCACCCCATGCCACTCTGGTAGATCCGTCCCTGCATTAGCTATTTATTTTGAGTACTTGATTTGTTCACATTTGCCTTACAAAATATAATCTGGCAGATTAGATTGCACATTTAGAGAATTACTTTAATCGAAAGCAAACAAATTAAGTTTAGAGGAGAAATATTTGTTTCCCAGTGTACTTACTCACTCAATATATTTTCTTTAGACACAAGCCAATATGTTACTTAATGTAGGTCAACATGTATTTATTTTCACAACTTAATTTCACCATAAACAGAAGCTAAATTAGCTGTAGTGAAAGAAGAATTTTCACTTGAGATAAAACTAAATTTGTTAGTGTTTATATTAGTTATAAATTAATTAACTTACTAATGACAGGAATATTATTTTTGAAAGTCCTTCATGTTTATTGTGATGTCTTTTTAAAACGTGCATAAAAAATAAACAATTATAAAACCCACAATAATTTCTGTAGTCAACAAAACCAGCCAGTATATGTTCTGCACATCAACTTTCTGGTATCAAGTGGAAATATTATTTAAACAAAGTTGCTTCTTTTTATTTTTTTTCTATGTTATTTGCTTTTAGCACAGAATTGAACTAAACAGGTTTAATCCTAAAACTTGAGTTTCAGTCTTAGTCTTGTAATTTTCATAGAAAATTAAGGTGATAATTAAAAATAGTGTGTATATTTTATTAAGGAAATTGTGGTTCAGTGTTGTATAGAAAATATTGAGAACATTTCACTAATAAAACCAAAAGATACATTTTCCTAATTTTTTAAGGAAACTTAAGCCGTTTTGAGGCTTGAACTGAGGAACCAATGATAAAATTAAGGAAAGAAGGCTACCTATTTATTTTATGTTTGACATTTGAAAGAGTTTCTATTATTTTGAAGTTTTGATCGTTACCATTGTGCAGAGTAGAGCTGATGTTCAGGTTGTGTATGAACTGTTTTTACTAATACTATGAAGCATGTTGTTTGGTTTAATGAGCAATAGCTTTGCTAATGCAGTGCAGAAACAAGTTTGTTCTTACTAGTGATGTGCCAGCAGCATAGTCTTTTAATTAAACAACAGTTTAGAGAGTAAACCTAAAATAAAAGAGCACATTTCACTGGAAAATATTAAATTGTGTTATAGACTAAAATGTTTTTATGAGATTCTACATGGTTTATTCATTTAGATTCTATTAAAGAAATAAAGCTATAAAACCACTCAAAAATATGTGTAATATTGTTACCATCATTTTAAGTAGATAGCACATAACCGTTACAGTGTAGATTCTGATGAAATATGAATTATATTGTTTGAATAAGAGAGTAAAAGACAGATATTCACCACTTGCTCCTTTCTGTGAGGTTTATTTTCTTTAAAGAATCAACATTACAACTTTTAAGGCAACCAGTTTACATCCACATTCATGTTAAATCAACTTCAAATTCAACGTTAATCTTTACTAACCTCAAATAAAGGAAATATCTAGTTTACTGTATTGTTCAGATGTTAATGTTTAATAACAGCATCTACAATTGTTTAACATGAGTGAACTATTCTGAAGTTCAGCTTATCATCTAAATCATTTAAAACAAATAAGAATGTAAAAACAGAAAAAGCCCAATAATCCCATACAAGGAATAAAATACAAAGCATACGGATTGTGTAATTTAATTGAAGGAAAAGCCCAGTTCCACACATCATCAAATCTTTTTAACTTAAAGTTATTTAAATGTTGCATTTGATAAACAACTAGTTTTTCATAATTTATCCCACAGAAATTGTCTCTAGAAACTACATATAAACAGAGATTTATCTTCTTAGACTGAGACAGGCTGTTGTACCCAGATGTTTACATCGATTATACACATTTCAGTTTAATCATTTTTTCTAATTCCTTTTTCATGGAGAGTACTGCATCATAAACCTACAAATCAATCTGTCACAGATCCTACAAATCAAACAACCTTGCAAACCAATCATTTGTATTCGTTTTTTCTGTCACTGAAGAGAAATATACATTTTACAATTTAGCTTCTGTGACCAACATGTCATATTTCTGCATTTTTAACAATCAACAAGTTAATAAACTGAAAACTATAAGATGATCAGCAAGTGTGAAGAAACAAAAACATTACTTTTTTTATGTAATTAATATATAAGACAGATCATTCCCAGAAATCTTTGATTGTGTGTGTGTGTGTGTGTGTGTGTGAGAGAGAGAATGTGTGTGTGTGTGTGTGTGTGTGTGTGTGTGTGTGTGTGTGAGAGAGAGAATGTGTGTGTTTATGTGCAGTTTTGTAAGCCAGCAGGAAAAGTTTTCATCTCTCTTCATCTCTCACGTCTGGTCTCCTAAAATGCCAGAAAAATATATTACATTTCATTCATTTCACATGACTGACACAGTTACAGTGATGAATAAAAACACACCTACATCTTTATGCTTGTGGAACTGTATGAGCCGAGCTGTTTGAGCCGTCATCAGAGCCTAAAACACACAACAATATTACAGTAACATCACAACAGACTGATCACACAAGACCTTTTAGATTAGCACAGCAATCATTCCTGAATCTATCCAGTGTCATATTTATAAGCTCCACATTAGAGAGAAAAACTTACTGGACAAAACTTCTATTTTAATTTACTTTATGATTTTATATTACTAAAACATTATATTATGGATTTAGAAATATGAAGACACTTCTTTTAACCACATCATGGCCGATGTCGGAGTCCACTTTGATACATTTTTATTATTTGTATTTATAAGAAACTTACCGCTGACAGGTTTGAAGCCTGAAAACAATCAGAGAGGTCAAATGTAAGTGAATTTCATTCAACCACAAAAGTTAACATTATCAAATCTAAGACTACAATCAGTGAACACAATTTAAACTTCTTTAAGTTCCTCACAAACAAACATATAATACATTTATATGCTATTTAAAATGTTGTGCTTTATACAATTTAAAAAAGTTAATTGAAGACTTTTGTGCACCCCGTCATAGAATATTCCCTCACCTTTTTTCTTCTGATACACCATATATCCAGCGACACCAATGATAACCAGCAGAACAACAGCAGCAAGAGCACCAACAATGATGCCGATGGGAACAGACTCTCCTGTTTGATCAGAGAAAACATCAGTTTACTCACAGAGCCTGGTAATGTTACTAACCAGTACTGCTGAAACTCTCAAACAGTGTCTGTGATTGTGATATATGCAGTACACTATATGCTATGTAGTGACAGCTTATTAACAATGTGCAACCATATAACGACAATACAGGCCTAAACATACTGTGTTTGTACTCTATTGTCTGTTTTGTGATTGTTTCCATTTTACTTTACTTTTCAATAAACTTCCTTATTAATAAACCAGTGATCTTTTGGGTTTATTTTTTGTCAAGATCTAATACAGTTGGTGGTAGATCTCAGGAGCCACTATATTTGTAGTTCACTCATCTAATTTCTCTTACCTGGGTTAGTAATGATCTCATTTGCTGTCTTGGTTTCGCCCTGGTGCTCCACCACACAGCTGAACTTGTTCTTCTTCCACTCCTCAGGTTTAACATTGAGGGTGCTCGTCTTCTGAAAGGTCCCGTCTTCATTGGGTAGAAGTTCACCGAGATCCACATCCTCATCATGATCTTGTCCATTTCTCATCCAGGAGATTGTTACTCCACTGGGGTAAAAACCTGTAGCATGACACGTGACTGGAGACGAGGAAGACTTCTGCAGCAGAGACACCTGAGGAGAGACTGAAGAGAGAGAGAGAGAGAGCTTGAATTCAAGTGATCTTAAATTCATGTCGTCCCAATCAAGTCCTTTATAAACCCCCAGCACACTGTCTGTGAAGGCTGGTCTTCATTCAGTTCACTGTATAATGTCAGGTAGAGGTTGAAGTGTGCTGGAACAGCTGGTGGAAAGCTCTGGTTTCTACTAAGGCACTCTGCAGGAGGAGCTGTATGTCCTTTCTATGTAACCTTGTTTTCTAAACTTTCGATACTAATAATAACAACTCAATATTTAGAAAAATCTAAAACAGAGCTTCTCGTCATCCTAGCCGGTCTAATTTAGCAAACTAACTATGAGGTTTATTCCTAATTAAAGGCAGACTAAAGGCAAGCAGCTCGTCATCGGTATCCAGGCAGAAAAACGCTTCTCAGGTCAGAAATGAAACTGATCTGATGCGGCGCACTAGCGCTCTAGAACATGTTTTACATGTTCAAACTCAAACCAATAAATATACTTGTTAGCTACAATAACTATAGGCTATTTAGGCTATGTATTTATTTATTTTATTACACGCGCATGTTTTGGAATACACTGCAATTCCTATTCTCCTGTTTCTCAGCATAATTATTATTATTTAATATTGTTTAGTATTAAGCTATAATTATTGTTGTTATTATTAGTAGTAGTAGTAGTATGGTTAAGTCAGCTTTGTTGAGCAAAGAATAATGTAATCAAAATATAAGATGAATAGGATACGTTTAAAGTATGATCTTTAGAATATTAAAACATTAAAAAATATATGAAACACGTTAATATACGCGTCTCTGAAAAAGTGACACGAAACTTTGACTCAAGTGGGCTATGTAGGTCTGTTTCAGTGTAACAGAATAACTCTTAAAACACAGTCATAACACAAATGGTATATTATAGCTTTCTGGTAAATGAAACTAATCTACTCACCAGCATAGGCAAGATGAGCTCCAAGGAGCAAAAGCAGTACATGCCGCATCATTTCTTTCGCCTGAGAAACAAATCCTTTCAGGTGTTTAGTTAAAATAAGCGATCCACACACTTCGGTTGTCGCTGTTGAAATGGTGAGATGTTTCTGCGCCTCACGCCTAATAAATAGCCTCTGAAATTCTAGCCAATAGCTTTTCTTGACCAGTCTGACGTCACGAGTTACTATGCGTTATTTCCCTCACTGGGTTGATAATGAAAGTGAAGACGAAATAGTAAATAAGTGAATATGGAATCATATGCCTGTGTTAGAATATAATTTTTTTTTTTAACTAACGCTGATGGAATGCACTGAAATGCTTGTCTACAGACATTCTGCAAATCAAAAGTCATTTACTGTATGGTTATATTAATAATATAAATAATGTTTATATTAAATAATTGTAACACCATCAGTTTAAGAAATTAAGTTCAGGGATGAAATCACTATCATACATGATCACCGTCCTCTTGAAGTGACGACAAAAGCTGTACGTCTCTGTACAGAAACATAAAGGATTTATAGGACAAAATACAAATTTGTGTTATAAAAAAAAACATTTCACTTCTGGATTATAATTTCATTTGCAATAAATGACAAGACTGGTGTCATATAAGTTAGAAGTTTCTCATGCTTAAACTGATATATAACATTTACTCAAAATCTCAATCAAAACCTTAAGGCTGATCAGACGAGGAGGGTTGTGACATGACCTTTCCCATTTACTACTTGATACACAAAGTCTGAACAAACTGAGATGGTGAATGTGCCTTAATAGTGAAAATGACCAACATGCACACACTGTGTTATGTTTTTGTTTGTTTGTTCAACAAATACTTATCCCATGGTTTATCTATTTGTTAAATAATTTTTCCCAAATGTTTTGCCGCTTTAGAATAGTTTTTCCTATTTAGAATAGTTTCTTTCTTTTCTTGTTTTTTTCTTTTCTTTTTTCTTTATGCATGACATTTTAAACTGATGCCCATATTTAATAACAGCATAACAAAACCAACTGTTATTATTTTTTATTATATTATGGTATTATGTTCACAGACCAGTATGATATTATTATTATTGTTGTTAAATCTCACACACACACACACACACACACACACACACACACACACACACACACAC